TAACTTTGCAAAACTGTCTATTTTTCTCTCTCGTTTTATTAACACTCGCGTTTCTCGAGTCAGTCGGTCATCATCGCACACTATTCTTTATAACACCTATGAAGGAACAAAAGTCACGGTACTTGATTTATTTGGCACAGATTTATATACGTTTTAATCAAAAAAATTTTTTTTTTTTTATCTCTATTTTCATTTGCAAAACTATCAATCGCTTCTTAACTCTTTCTTCACTGATGGAATAGTAAAAGAAGGATGAACGTTTATATGCGCATTTTATACAACGCACTGAAGTATTTAAAAGTGGTTTTTTTTACTTTATACTAAAAATCGCAAGCACAATCATTCCTTAGTAACAAAAAAAAAAAAAAAAGAAAGAAAGAAAGAAAAAGAAAAAAAAACAATAAAGAAAAGAGAAACGTGACCGAACGTAATGCTTGTGCTCGTGTTTATTTGAACTCACTCATGTGGGTGTATACACAGACATAATTTCACACTTGTGGGTATAGTATATCCTTAAGTTACTAGCATTGTGGTGGTATTTATTTGCATTTCCGAGGTTTTATTTTTTTTAAAAAGAAACGTACGTCATATTTTTTTCACTCACTTTTCCTATTTTTTACTTCGCTCTCCTTTTATGCTTCTTTTTTTTTTCGTTTTTTTTCGTTTTTTCATTTTTTTTTTTTTTTTGTCAATGCGTTATCTCGATGGTGTCACAAAAACAAAGGAGAATCACAAACATTTACATGGAAGGCTACAGAAACATCCGTGAATCGATGAAAAAAATTTACGGGAAGAAATGAAAAACAAAAAAACTTTTATCACGCAATCGAGTGTCGCACTGATTATTATCAGTCTCTCTGTCAAAGCTTTCCCACGTCTTTTTTTCTCTTAAAATGCACATTTTATTTGCTCAAAATTCAGAACGCCAACGAGTCATCAAAACTATGAAACGTCTATACGTATATATACAAAGTAATTAAAGCTTGCTTTTGCGAAAAGTACCAGTATTTCATGACAGAAGAAATTTTCCGTGAAAAATCGACTTTGTAATGCCATGTCCTTTCGCTCGTCACGTGTCACAAATAATACACTTGCCCTTGACTTTTCGAGCTCGACATAAAATGCGGCGCTCTCGAATTTTATAAAAGCACGTGTCGTACAGTTACAAAACGTTTACCAAACGTAATATTTATGACACACTGTATGCAAAAATACAAAAAATTAATATTTACAGAGTCAATTTGCATACGCGTGCACGGTTATAATTATGGTGTATTTTGTCTCTGCACCCTTGAACCACACACTTAGCACTATATCTCTACAGCCAAACGAGAATTTTATGACATCCTGCGTCACTGAACCACGTGTTTCCTTGACTAGACTTCTTCGTCGCTTTTTTTTTCACGCAATAAAGCTCAAAGATTGTGCAAAAACTCAATCAAACATTTCATTTTACACTTGGGAATCAGATCCCACCGAAAAACTCAAATCTCCCGTTCAAGCTAGAAAACGGAAAAGCAATAGTATTAGGATATTATACATTATAAGCAACGCAGAAATCAAGCCAAGCACGATTCCTTTCTAAAATAGTTTGCCGTCTAAGTGTAACCAGAATCGTCGTTCAAAAAAAAAAAAAAAAAAAAAAACGTAACATAAGAGACAAACGCGTATCGACGGGATGTCGTCTTGTATGCGCGTCTCAGTTAATGCGTAAGAAGGTGCCCATCAGTTACGGATTCTTCGGAAGCTAGAAAAACAAGGTCGGCCAGCAATGCTGCAATCCCCGTCTGATTTGCAACAACGATCCGTCGCAAGAATAATTGCAACAACAACCCGTCGCAAGAATTATAAATTCATTTTCTCATACTCGCACTCTTATGCCATATCGTTATTAATGATAATAATAATAATAATAGCAATAATAACTACGATGGTAATAATAATATACTAATATGTTCCCCGCTTCCTCTGTCATTGTTTTTTTTTTAATTTTTTTATTTTTTTATTTTTTCTTCTTTTAGTATAATTATTCATCGATTCTCGTGTCAGCGACGGTCGGTAGCATATCGTACGTAAATAACTCTACTCAGGTAAATTCGCGTCATTTCTCATTAATGTCAGACACGCACTTGTTCATACCCACACGAATCAGATACAAACTCAGATTCATTCATTGTTTTTGTTGTAACTAACAATTCTTACTTAGGTACTAACGCACTATAGTAAAACTTGCTTTTAGCTTGTTACGTATAAATGTTGTTGCATATTTTATTTACTTAGATCTCGCTCGTACCTTAAAAACTGCGGGTGTCTGCGTGCTTGTGTATATTTTATGATAATAATTATTATTATTATATCAGCAACGACTGGAACGCGATCTCTAATAGGATTTGTTTTGCTTAATAATTTTTCTTAATTTATTCATTGAGATATACGAGTTACCTTACCACATTAACTTAATTTTATTTAAACGATAGGCATTAACTACTACGCGCTAAATAATTATCTTACTTAACTATTACATTACTTTTATAAATGTATGTGTTGTGTGTTTCATATTTAAACTCGTACTTTATTTTCATTTTCCTTCTTCGTGCAGATTTCAACAACGACTGATCGTTGCAAGCGAATGCGTTATATTTTGCAGTTTTGTCATTGTAACAAAATATTTTTTATCATAGTTTCTGTATACCTTATAAAAGTCTGGGTTAACGCACCCTTAAGTATTAATTACTGAACAGAACAAAAACGCTCACAAAGAAAAGGAAAATAATGTTACCGTAATAATTATTACTATTGTAATAAATTGAATTAAATAAAAACGTAAAAACACATGTAAAATGTTTTTTTTATATATATACATGTAATATATATACTTGTGTTTACGTGAACCGAGGCTTATTAACTTTGCAAAACTGTCTATTTTTCTCTCTCGTTTTATTAACACTCGCGTTTCTCGAGTCAGTCGGTCATCATCGCACACTATTCTTTATAACACCTATGAAGGAACAAAAGTCACGGTACTTGATTTATTTGGCACAGATTTATATACGTTTTAATCAAAAAAATTTTTTTTTTTTTATCTCTATTTTCATTTGCAAAACTATCAATCGCTTCTTAACTCTTTCTTCACTGATGGAATAGTAAAAGAAGGATGAACGTTTATATGCGCATTTTATACAACGCACTGAAGTATTTAAAAGTGGTTTTTTTTACTTTATACTAAAAATCGCAAGCACAATCATTCCTTAGTAACAAAAAAAAAAAAAAAAAAAAGAAA